ATTATACACTCAAATTATAGCTCCCTAGCGGAATCTAGTAATCAAAGCAATAACTTCCAAATGCGGCAACCTTTGAAGCCATAAGATAGTTTTCTGCATCATATTTCTTCTTGAAAGGAGCAAGATAAATACAATTTAATCTGTGATACTTAAATATTATCTACCATATATATGTTTATTGTGATTTTTTTATTATTACAGTCGTTTAAATGTGTTATATCACCTAATATAATGATACAAATAAAACAAAATGTAATATTTCTCAGATTTATAAAATTTCACGAAAATAGTCTGCTTTGAATATATCTTACCAAATTCTAAACTTATGTTTTAATGCTTGATCTGCTTACCCTCACTCTGTCACAACCTTTCCGAAATACCGAGCTTAGACATCGGAGGATTCAGATAAGTTCCGATTAATACCAAATTAACCAAAACCCAACAGAAGATAACCTTTCGGTAATTAATACAATGAATATTCCATTTCCATTGTAAGAGCTTGACAGCAAATACTTCAAGGACCAGTGTAAAGCTGAGTACTTACTTGAGTAATCTGTTGATTAGATCAGGGAAAAATTTATGATTAACAGTAATTTAGCTAAATGTCAGGGGCGCGTTTGCTCCTATAAAGGAAAACTGAATTGTCCAAATTAGGTATTATGATGCCTTATCAGCATAAGTGTGTCTAATAATCATAATTTTAGTTAAAATAATAATTTTATTTATGACTTTAAGTTATTTAGAAATGTAATTGACATATGATAAATCTTTCTTTCTGTTTTCAGAATCAAGATTTTTAACAACAGTTAAAATATCTGTTATTCTAAAATAAATTTTAGATGAACGAATTTCATGTTGAAAAAATATTAAATAAATATCAGTAACATCAATGAAACTATGATGTTTTCCAAGTCATGTTATTCGGCATTAAAAGGTATTTGAGCTGAAAGTATTACCATCGAAATGAGTTATTTCAAGAAATAAAATTGATCCAATGATGCCTAACGGCTAGTTGTAAGTGACTCAAAAGCGGTCGCCTAAGGCACGAAAGTTCGGAAAGGAAAAAGAAGAATATCTTTCGATTGGTGGGTCCTAAGTTCAGTGAAAGGATGAGTATAGGTTTCTCTGGTATTTTTCTTTCTCGTCTTCTCCGTTTCTAAAACTTGTATCGCTTGATAGGTTTCTTTTGGAAGTTTGAAGTTTAATGTGATATCTAATTTGTTTTAGTTTTTTTAGACATGCGGTTTTCGACGGATCTATACGTTTCACAGCCCCCTAAGTTCGAAAAACACGTTTTTAGCCATTGGTCTGTCTGTCTGTCTGTGCCAAGATTTTCTCGGGAACTACTGAACCGAATTTGTAGCTTTTTTTTTTATTTTGGAGGGTTTTGACTACTGATGCCTATGACAGAAATTCGTAGCTCCATGCGCAATAAATGAAAAACATGTTTATCAATAGACTGTAGCGCGAAAAGGGCTCTAACGATTTTGATGAAACTTTTTTTTGATGTTCTAATTATTGTTCGAAAAAATTCAGGAAAAAAAGTTTTAAAGAAAAGAAAAATGTTAGGGGCCTATCTCCCTAAGCATATATTATAGGTAAAATTTATAATAAAATTTTTGAAAGGTATTTAAATTACCAACAAAACAAAAAAAAAAATCATCGGAATCGAACCAGTATTAGCGATGATACAGCTTATTCTGTTTTTTTTAACTTATTACTTTCCTACCTATACTAAAAAAACGTTTAAACGTTTAAACGTTTCTACCTATCGTTTGAAAGGTAATGAAATTCTCTACAAAGCCATATAAAAATCGTTCATTTTGGACAACTATTAACGAAGTTACAGCTATTCAATTTCCAATGTAAGATTACAAGTTTTCTGTAGCCCGCATCACATAATCTTCACTATTTCCTCTACTTTTAACAGAAATTATTATTTGACAAGTAAACTTTTTGCTATGGGAAAAAGTTTTTAATTAATCAGCAATATTATACATTCTTGAAATTTTAACACTGATCTACCTTAAGCCGGTTTCATTGCTTTAGTTTTTCTAATAAATTGTACTCAAATCTTTTGTTTGATCAATTTCAGGAAAATAAATTTAGTTCAATTCTTTTTTGTTTCTTCATGAACATATGTAAAGATATAAAAACTTTTCTGAAATAGGTAGAGAAGTCGTGTGAGTGGACGCACCAGATATTTTTATCTTATTAGTAATGATTAAAAAAAAAATGTTAGGTCCAATAATTGGAATCTTTTATTTATTTTTCTTTGTCACTAGATAGGTAGGTAATGTTATTCTGAAATAATTTGCAGCGTTTTTTTTTTTTTCATATCTACGTCGAAAAAACAATAAAATCGTGGAAACAGAATCACAGAAAAGTCCAGGAGTTGAGGTTGCTGATGCAGTTCTCAGGTATACACTTAATAAACAGAGGAACCATTTTCTTCTTTCTTATTGACATAACTTTATTTGAAGTAATATTAAAAATAATAATGCAAAAAAATAGGCTCAAGCGGTGGAATTTTGGAGAAAAAGTAGTGTCACATCAATATTGCATAAAACTCGAAATGGGAACATAAGAAATAACCTGACATAAATATTCTGAATGGGATAAGATACTGATTGACAAATACTCAAATTTTCCAATATTTTTTTTTAGGATGATAGTTAGCGTCCAGGTCTCACACCATATAAGAGAACTGGCCTTATCATAGCATTGTAAGTTATTCATCGAGATTATTTTGGAGACGAGGTATTTGAAGTGAGCGACAACGAATCATAAAATAAATCTGTTCTTCAGAAAAAAAATGCTTGGATCATTCGAATTTCTGTTCACTGTTCCGAGAAGAGAAGAAGACATGACAACCTATTACGTTGTGGATAGAAGAAGTCAGGGAGGATAAGACGACTAGAGCTTTAACAGAATATGTCTACTCTTATTGCAAGGAAGGAATACTGAGGATTGGTGAATTTGCTGCAGAAACCGCACAATCGCAGATTTTATTTTTACCACCTTCCAATGTTTTTCGAAGTAATCTTTGGAGGAATTTAGTATAATGCCCACGTTTTATTAATTAATACTGCTGATGTTAATTTTTATGAAATCATCTTTAGTTCACATAACTAATTGATTAATTAAAAAACTGAAATATATATTTAAAATTACTTTTAATAAAATGCATGAACATTAATTAAAACGGGATTTTAGTTGCACCAACCAAGAGAAGCAGATTTAATTATATATTTATTAAAAAAGGCAATCCCAACTCCTTGCATTTGTGAGTACCAATTTAGACTGGGAGTGAGTCAGACAAATCTAGTTTAAAGCCCTAATGCGGCACATCTAGTCCTTGCAACACCCTGCTAGGGATTCTATATCCGACGGCATATCCTTCTATATTACAGCTTCTATTTGACATTTCTCAATATGAAGAGCGAAAACCGTTATTATATTATATATAAGGAGAGAAGCAATCTTGCATTTTTTTATTTATAAATAACCTAGTTTACGTAATCATTACGGTTTGTGTTCTCGGTATACGTGGGTTGCTCAATGGCTCTAGTTACTGATTGAAGATTCGTAATATATTTTTATACGCTTTTGGATCATAGCAATAAAATGCACAAAAAACGAAGCAGTCAGTTTACGGAGGTCATGATATTATATGCTATTTTTATTTGAATTCATATTTTTAACTTACTCATAACTATGGAGCATGCGATAAGCTCAAATAAAAAGAGAAGTTAATGCTGATAAATATAACACTATGTCACGTCGATCTTCCCTTATCAAGTACGTCAGAAGATTATTGGAAATAGCTGAGAGAGGATGTGTATTTAAAGTCAACATTTCGCCCCGACTTTGCTGGTCTTCTTCAGAGGGGTGCATGCGGCAAGGAGTTTCAGTTGAAACTAATCTTCAGTTTGCAGATCTTCAGAGTTTCAACTCAAATTCCATGCTGCATGCATCCCCCTGAAGAAGACCTGCAAAGTCAGTTCGAAACGTTGGCTTTAAATAAAATAGTATTTCCACAAAATAGGGTTTTTAGTTTTTAGTCTGTTTGTGACCGTCACTCCAAACCATCTCCTTCCTCTGAAATATACAATGGTCAACCATTAAGTAATTTTAATGGTGGATTATAAGCGAATTTTGGTTTTAAACGATACTTGGACTTACATCGTGACTACTCGCACTAATGGATCCAGGATTTAATTTTTTGGGGGAGCGGAGTAGTTTCAACCATAAATATTTTTTATAATGGTTAAATGATATAAAAATAATCACGAGTTCGCGTCCCGGTGCCGAGGGAGTCTTTTAATTACCCGCCCACACTTCCTGGCTCGGAAAAACCCCGTATAGCCTTAACGGCGAGGAAGAGGACAAAAAAAAAAAAAAAAAAAGCTCGTTTGTAGTCAAAGTCCAAGGAAAATGAACATAAGGGCACTCTTGGTATAAAACAGAAGAAAAATGTACGTTTTGCTGAAAGGAGAAATGCGGCATGGAATGTATTACTTTAGATAAAAAATATATTAAATCTAAGTCTTCAATTAGGTTCATCATGCAATAGTGACAAGAAGTCTGAGAAGATAAAATATCTAATTAGTTTTAAAAAAAAAAGTCTTAGATTTCTTTTTTAAACCTCATCCGATCATCATGAAGAAAAACATAGACATTACATATTGAAAATCTAATTTGTTTTTATCTTCGTGTCAAGAGTGATGCTTTCTTATCATATGTAGAACCATAACTAAATGATTGAACTATCTGTAAGAACGGCACAAGTAATTTGAGATACTTTTATCCTAAGAATTATAATTATTTCGAAGGTAATGGTAAAACTCGAATTAAGAAATACTTTATCCAAATTCAAAATATTTTATGTTTATTTAAAGGAATAATGCTAAATGTTAAAATATTTCTTCAGCTGTTGGTCAGTGAGTTATATTTATTTTTCCAACCTGCACAAGATAGGAAACCGGAACGTGTGTGAGATGGCCACAACCCGCTGTTGGAGTGAGTTAGGTAGGTTCCCGACCCCGTGGGAAAACTGGAGGCTGAGGGAAGCAGGATTCCTGGAGGTAGGGCAGTCCGTCTTCTGCACTGCCGTTGGCACAGCGGAGAGCATTCTCTACCTTATTGGAAGATCTTCGGTCCTCGATGACCGTTACGGTGGCGTCACAGCTGTCGCAATAATGGCGAATTTAGGAATCTATCGGTTCCAGTTGATGGGCTCTAAAGTACATGGTGCCAACGGAATCTTCATAAAACTGGCAGTTCCAAATGACATTCAAAGAACGAGATGTGGAATAGTGATTAAAGTGGAATATTCCCAAATTTCATCACGCCCGTTTTACCAAATAAACAAAACTTAGGTGTCTTATTGTTAATATTTTATTGAGTAAGTTTACTTTTAATATCATCTATGAAATAAATTTATATGATGGTTAGGAATCTTTAAAAACGTTTGCTTAAACCTAACACATAATAATTAAGACATAAGTGGAGACTTAAAATATACACCACTTTAATAATTTTGGTTCTACCTTGACACTTTTGTGGGTCCATAAAAATAAACACCTATTAAAATGGTTTCCTCGCCGAGAGGGCTATGACTATTAATCCTTCGTTATTACTCTAATATCTGTCGAGGCACCTCTAATTTGTGTCTTTTGAAAGTGTTGATAGTTTTTTTCAATGTTGTTCCATTAGTCATTTAGCGACCGCTATGCCTCTTTTTTATTTAGTAGTAAAACGAAAGCTTCTTAAGCGTAATCTAGTAATTATTTACCGCATAGTTTGTGAAGGATCCTTAATGTTAAATTAATTTAAGCTGGTAATAGAACGCAATTAATATTGAACTATTAATTGTGTTAAAAAAAAGTAGTCTTGGATTTAAAGTTCTATTTGTAGTTTTTCTGCTCATAGATTCATAAGAGATGTATTCAATTAATCATTCATTATCAAAAGTCATTAATTAAATTTTAAATTTTTAAAGCTTTCTTTGGAGTTTCAGGAACACAATTTTCGGTTGAAGCTTAATATGTAGCCGTTATAAGAGCTCTAATTTTTTTTTTTTTTTTTTTTCTACTCCCCAGGAATTTCTTGATTACAAAATACAATATATATATATATATATATATATATATATTATATATATATATATATATATATATATATATATATATATATATATATAAATGAGGTATATAGGTATAATATATATAGCATGAGGTTCGTTTAGAGCTCTTATATAAATGAAGAGCTCATGCTATCCTTATCTGGCTTAAAGTGAGTCAAATAGTCGAGTATGTGGGCTTGAATAGTTGAGTATTTAATATTATACCTTAAGGTAACGGCGGAGAATGCGGTAATGGCGATCATGTAAACAGAAAAAAGTATATATATGTGTAACTATCGATTTACATTATGTCGATATTTTTCAAAACCATTGAAAAAGTAAATCGATATACCGATAAACCGGATCTTGGTATTTTATACCTATAGAGACGACAATAACGATATATATCGAAAAATATCGTTATTTCAAGCTGAATGTTTTAAACTGTGTAAGATGGGGAATAGGATTCATATTTAATTAAAGTTTTAGATTTGTAATGTTTTTAATAGAAGCAATTAAATATTCATATATTTTTTTGACAAAAATAAATATACCAAATTGTAATCATTAATAAATTAATAATTGTACCTATATGAAAATTTTCAAATTTTTAATACTAAAATTTAAAAAAAAAATTATTTCCTTAAACACATTTTGATTTTATTTCTTTGTTTACTTATTCATTTTTTGGGTATGGGAGAATATTGTTTATTTATAATAAAATTTTAATAACGATATATCGATACAATCGATATTTTACATCCCCGTGAATAGGGGACATCTTCAGAAGACAGTTCTTGTCTCGACTTCCAAAAGGTAGCCCTGAGGATGATCCACATGTTTGGGTCGTAACGTCGGCTAACCTAATAAAAATTCTTAACTGTAATTCCTGACAATTTCGCTTAGTCCTATTAATTGATCAGTCGACTAATAACCTACCTCTGAAGGCTACTAGTGCTGTAATTTTTTTTTAATCGTTCAAAACATTCCGCGCTTGTATAAAATTTTTTTGTTAGTATAAGATCACCTTAACAGAAAAGATTTTATGTCAATTTTGTTTTTGTTATCTCTGTGTCTTGAGTTTTGGGAGTTGAGACAGTTTTTGTCGCGACTCCCAAAAGATAGCCCTGAGGATGACCCGCATGGTTGGATGGAAACGTCGGCTATCGTAATAAAAATTCTTGACTAGAAATCCTGACAATTTTGCTTCATTCTACTTATAAACTTGATACTATTGAAGTACGTACCGGTTTTTCTCCACAGTAAAATAAGGATGGTGCGAAAAAATAAGACTTCTCTTAAACGACTGTAGTTTGTTTAAAACGTTTTCTTGGTGCTTTACTTAGAGTAAATGATATTTTTGGGAACCGCTAAAACTGTTTTTAAATTGATTGATTTTTCCGGTTACTACTCCGTTCCGATGGGTCGTAATGAGATGTAATAAATCCAAAAGTCTTTCTTAATGGATGGCTTTCCTTATACAAAAAAAAAATATTTTGAATCGGATTGGTAATTCTTGAACTAACCCCTTATACTAATTTTAAAATGTGCAATAGTAGGTATATGTTCGTACCTTATATGTTTATGATATAAGAATTTATTAAAAGCTCTATAAAGTAGTGTTATGAACCATATCTAATAGCCTTAAATGAGGACTTCTTACTGTGAGTTAACACGCACTCCAACTTCGTTATAGTTGATGCCGAATGAGTCCTTTTCAAATTTCTCTTTCTCGAATATGCCGCCGCCCGTAGCGAATTGAAAAGAGTTGACATTTCCCCGACTGCTAACTGTATGCAGAGCCGCCTGTAATGAATTTCAAAGACACACCTGCTAGAGAGACAGAATTAATGACATTTCCCCTCGGACAAAGGGCACACCGACTTGTCCATTTACATTATGTAGTCCATTACGGTCTCTATTGTCCATTCATCTCTCAGATATATCAGTAGAAGCAGAATATATTTGGCATATCGCGTTGAGTTACTATTTTCGGAGGTGTCGGATCAGGATTGAGTACAACCTATCATCTCGACCTGTTTTTGTACGTGTTTATCTTTCAATATGTCTGTATCGTGACCTGGAAGGCAAGTGCCGTCTTTACATTTTGATAAATTCTGATATAATTCTAAAACACCCATGTCCTTTTCGTCATGTTAGAGAGACTTTCATACAGAGGTATTATTTTCACTATGTACTTTTCTACTTACTACATGATTTATTGACAATTTTACCCTTTGAATGCTCAATTGGGTCACTCTTATAGTAAATAAGTCATTCAGATTTAGGCTGTCACAAATTTAAATCTCTATCTCGCCATGTCCTAAGGTTTTTCGTAGTTTTAGAATTTGTTATCCTCTGAAACCCCTCCACGTTGAGTCAGAATATTAAAAATGAGTATAAGAATTGAGTTGGTGTTGGTGTTAGTGAAGTGGTTTTTAGGGACCCCAACTGTTTTATTCCACCGCCACGTTATTTTCCCTATTCTCAAGATTTTGCGCATCTCTTTTCCTCTCCCTAATTTAATTAAATGATTAAACATCTCTGAAGTGACTGAAGATATGATTTTAGAAGTGCCTTTCGAGTGCCTCAACTTCTTTTATGATCCTCAGGGTTTCGATAAATTTAATTCGGAAAAAAGTTCAAAAACAAAACACGAGAAATCGATCTTCTGCTTTAACAGCTAAATAAAGTTGTAGCTGTTCGATTTAAAATCCTATCCAATTTTCAAATGTTAGCATTAATGAAAGAGCCAAATATTTTTTCATCTGCTTTAAGGACAAAAATAGAGAGAATTCGACATTGATGATAGAGCTCAGTACCTCACAATTCTCCACCATTTTTTTACGATATATTTTTCATTCACTTTTCTATAAATTTTCTATTCAATTTCTACCTTAAGCGTCCTCTACTGGTGTTAAACACCAGTTAAGAAAGCATCTAGTATCGTTCTAAACATATGTTCTCTTATGTTAATTTAAATAATTGATGCTTGCTACAGACTAGTTCAAATCAATCTCAGTCATTCCAATTTTATGTTTCTCACGATAGATAAAAATGAAATCGCATTAAAGTAGTAAACTACGATCCGATTTCATTACAAACCCTTAAAAAAATATATTTGTCAGATCTAATAGCTATTTATCAGTCAGAACAAGCCTGGCGGGTTGCGAATCTAAAAAAAATGTTTAAAAAAACATGTGGTCAAGTCTCATTTCGCATGCAAGGAAGATAGTCTGTGCGAACTGGAACACGTAGGAAACCTGATCCGCCGATCTGAACTGAAGATATCGAACATGTTCCACAGACGAACGGACTCTTGAGGATTGGGCAGTGCATAGTGATGGCTACACTAATAGCGCTGACGGATGAGCACATTCCTTTTCGAAGTATTTTCATTCAAGTGTGGTAAGTTCTCAGTCATACCAGAGACCAGAGAGCGAAGGATAGCATTAGGTCTGCATGACCGCAGATTAGGCCATGATGATTGGCTCGTCGGTTTGGCCTCTATCAAAGGATAAGGCCATTATACTTCTTGTGCCTCGGTGGGTTGAGATTGTTGATAACTCTTAATTAGGGTACCTTTATTAGTTCTCTAAGCACGCATAGAATTTCAGGTAATGGCATATTAATTTAACCTAGTACACACGCGAAGATAGTATACGTCGAGTAAACAATATAATTGCTATAAGCATAAGCACACTAAGAAATTGTTTCATTCATTGATGATGTATAGGACTCTTGGTGAAAATTATTTCTATTCTCGCCTTTCTTCGAATTTTTTTTTAAAGATTAAAAAAAAATCCTTTGAAAGTTAACGAAATAAGTGAGCGACCTCATATGGAAACAGACATCTGTCGTTTTTAAAAAGTTGAGGGGAAGCCAATTCTCTGTATTATAACTTCAATTTAAACTAATTATAATGATTCTTGAGCATTCTTGAATAAAATCATCAGAAACAGTTTGAGTTGGACATACAAAAAAAAAAGACTTTTCCTCCGCTTTCTAAAAATGACTGATGACCGTCTTTGATATGAAGCCATTCACTCAACAACGTTGTCATTAAATTAAAATATAACGTGATACTTTAAAAAAATCTATCTTACAATATTATTAATTGCACTTATATTATCCTTATATATTAAATCCTTTGAAAATTAACGAAATAAGTGAGCGACCTCATATGGAAACAGACATCTGTCGTTTTTAAAAAGTTGAGGGGAAGCCAATTCTCTGTATTATAACTTCAATTTA